AGATGAAGTCCAAAACTTGGGTATTAAGATAACATAGATGATGATCTAAAATCATGGAGAAGAGTTGCCAGAGACAGGAGCGAATGGAAGATTGTTCTGAAGAAGGCTTTGGCTCATGACGAGCTGTAATGCCACTGATGATGATGATATATTAGTTATTCATATCCGACGTAGTGAGTCCCCAAGCATTTTAGTTTTCACCAAATTTGGCGGTATATTGCTAGTACTACTACGCACGGTACATTGTTTTTTTTTTTTGTTGAGCGTGCCAATCGATAATCAACTTGCTAGACATGTTACAATTTTATTTTTATCTTTCTGTAGGTTTTGTTGATGGTTTTTTAGAGGGTAGTTAATTTTTATTGGCTGGGGTATTGCTCGTATGTAATGTAAGTTATTACGATGAAGCTCTTTTGTTGATTGTGTTCTTTATAGTCTAACTTTTGAATAGTTTTAATTATGCTATAAATACGCTATAAATACGCTATAAATACAAATTATGTTTTTTCTCGCCGGAATCATCTTCCCTATTAATTATCGATTAGATAAAATGAATGTACATTTTATAAATATCGTATATGGATTTTTAATTTTATTTTAGCGATACGCTTTCAACCTTTTTATCATATTATGCGAAAAATGTAGTTTGTAATAATGTTTTTATTCTGTTTTAATGATTAAATTAAGGCTTCGCTTAATGGAAGTCCATTAGAAAATAATTTAAATTTTTCGCTTTTAAAACATTTACTTTTTAAATCTAAAATATTACTTAATACTGATTTATTAGACATTTATATTTTACGTAGATATATCTATCCTATATTTTATCATATCTTATATAATCTCTCTCCATTTCATTATCAACTGCTAGACACAGAACTCTTCGAAGTTGTTTCTGTCTGTCTTTCTCACATCTTTGTTATAGACAAAAACAAATGGTTATGATATAGAAGTGAAAATGTAAAGAACAACAACAGTCAAAATAAAAAGCATTTACACAGTGGGGTATAAAAACTTACATGCGGTGACTGCCCAAAAACTTACATCAGTCAAACTGGTAGAATTTTTAACAAACGTATAGCAGAACATAAAACGGCCTTCAATAATAGAAAAACTGATTCTACATCCGCACTTCACTTTTTAGATCATAAGCCTTCTTTTAATGGCTAATTTAAACTATCTTAACTAGAATCTACGGAAATTAATAAATAAAAATACAGATATATTTTTAAATGACCAACTTGAGACAAACAGCCCTTCGTTCGTCAACCTACTCCGTTAAAGACGAGAGAATAGACGCATAGTAAACATACATCAGTTGAGAACGGCTCTTTGCCGAAACAGCTGTAGTTATAAGTGTGGAAAGCAAAAGTTACAGGAGGTAAACAAAACCCTTTGAGTTTCCTTGAGTACAAAAAATTGAAAACATACAAGAATTAGAACTGCATATCCGATTCATAAAGATAAAATCCTAATTAGTCATGTAAACTGAGGTTAAATTTTCATTTTTACGTTGGTAATACTGTTAATAAATACATATGTGCATTTTTCTTAGGAAACCCCCTTATCAGCGGATTTACAACATTCTACTGTGATTAATATTGATTTGGTTATCTTCTATGTAATGATAAATACTGCAGTCATTTAATAGACTGTATACAAGATAAAACTCACGCATATACAGGAGTTCATATGATAAAATTCTAAGAATAAAACACCTGATAAAAAAAACGTGGGAAAATGTGTATCTGTGATTAGAAATAACTTTCAACGAATTGTGTCAAAGGCTTAGTTGTATTTTGTATTGTTACATTTAAATACATGCCGTTTAATCTACATAAAACATAGTTGTAGCTAAATATTACGAACATATATCAAGAATAGTTATACAATTTATGGACTCGGGCGTTGCAAACAGGAAATATTAGGAACTGTCTCCTTATAATCGTTAGGGACTTCCTCTAATGTGTGTTTAATGTTGCAGATTTCTCCGTAGTTTCATGACAGAAACGGTAATTAGTCCTCTTTGTATAGTAAGTGTATATATCGACCATGTTGTCTTCTGATAGGATATATGTTCCAGGTTTTTCGTGGTAATTTCTGATATTCACGGCATATTGTTATTGGATTAAGCTTTAGAGTATCCATGTATTATTTATATAGTGTATTCAATGTTTGTGGCAAGTTATATGGAACTGATGGGATAAAGAAACAAAAAATTTATTATGGAGGTCTAAAATAAAATTAGAGCCAGTAAAAGCCAGATATATCTGTTTCTGTACCTCTGGATCCGTTATTTGAGGAGGGATTTCATCATACACCAGTCAATTTTGACGTAATTGTTGATATAAAAGAATCTGTCCTTAATTATGAAGAATACTATTTTGACTTTAAAATGGTGATTATGTTGCTTTAAATTATTATTTAGCAGAAGTTGACTGGAATTTATTATTTCTTAACAAAGCATTAATGACGTAGTTAAAGATTTTTATGATATTTTATTTTATTTAATCGAATTGTTTATACCATTAAAAAAATTTAAAACATCTACATATCCCAAATGGTTTACATCAGAGTTAAAACATTTACTTTATGAGAAGAAAAAAGCACATAAAAAATTTAAAATGACTGGTGGTGATGAGAACTATTGTCTTTTTTCCGATCTCAGAGAACAATGTAAAGAGCTTAGCAAGTATTTACATAGGCGTCATGTGAATGAAATTGAGGATAGCATTTTTCATAATTCTAGTTCTTTCTGGAAATATATTAATAATAAACGCAAATCTCATATTCTACCATCGAGTATGAGTTATGGTAATGAAAGTAGTGAAAATGGTTCAGATATTGTGAATTTATTTGCTGGGTTCTTTTCGACTGTCTATAATAAAGAAAAAATAAATCAGATTCCTAATTTTAAGTACGAAAATTATGTTAATGCTAATAATTATTTAATTAATGTTAAGGATATTATTGATAAAATACAGAATAATCCGTGGAAACTGACAGCGGGTCCAGATGGTATACCAATGTATTTTATTAAAAAATGTGTATTCACTCTTGCTAAACCTATTCAGTTATTATTCAATAAGTCCTTAACTTCTTCTACATTTCCTGATTTTTGGAAAGTGAGTTTTTTAAAACCCATTTTTAAATCTGGTCAAAATAATAATGTTGAAAATTACAGGGCTGTTTGTTTGCAGTCTGAACTACCAAAGTTGCTTGATTTTTTTGTTAACCATATGTTAACCTACGATTGTAAAAATTTAATTCTCGGTCAACAACATGGTTTCTATCAAAAGAAATCTACTTGTACAAATCTTATTTTGTATTCAAACTTCATTGTTGATTCTATGGAATCGGGAAACCAAGTTGACTCCATATATGCTGATTTTGCCAAAGCATTTGACAGGGTAAATCACGAAATATTAATTGCTAAACTTCGTGGATACGGAATTGGAGATAATTTATTGGATTGGATCACGAGTTATTTAACAGATCGTTCACAAATAGTAAAATATGGTAATTTTGTTTCTGAAGCGATTAATGTTACTTCGGGTGTACCTCAAGGTTCTCACTTAGGCCCACTTCTATTTAATCTGTTTGTGAATGATATATCATCAGTAATTAATAATAGTGAATTTCTATTGTTTGCTGATGACATAAAGATCTTTAAAGCAATTAAAAATACCTCTGATATGGATGCTCTTCAGTCTGACTTAAATAATTTATCTCGTTGGTGTGACATTAATGCCTTATATTTAAATATAAAAAAGTGCTATAAAATTACGTTTTCCAGAAATACTAAACATCAGTTATATAGAACATACATACTTAAGGGAGTATCGATTACAGAAGTAAATCAAATTAGAGACCTTGGAATTACATTTGACCAAAGACTAATGTTTGATAGGCATATTAATAATATTACATCGCGGGCTTATAGAATGCTCGGCTTTGTTCAAAGGAACTCCCGAGAATTTTCAATATTTACTTTCAAAATTTTGTATTGTTCTCTAGTTCGGTCCATTTTGGAATATTGTAATATTATTTGGTATCCATATTATAATATGTATATTGATCAGTTGGAACGAGTTCAAAATAAATTCCTAAGAATTTGCAGGTATAAAATGGGTTTTAATAGAACTAACTGTGATTATAACTATATTCTTTGTCAACTTAATATGAAAACTTTGGAAAATAGAGAATCTGAGTGTGAATTGCGTTTTTTGCATAAAATTCTTAATGGTTATGTTGATTGTCTGGAACTGCTGGAATTAATTGTTTTTAATGTAAATTCTAGAAGAACACGCTCTCCTGACCTGTTTAGACTAAAGTTTCATCACACTAATTATGGTAAAAGTGAGTCAATCACAAGGATGTTGAGAACTGCCAATAATTTGCAAGATAGTGTTGAATTGTTTTAATTTATCCGTGTCCTCGTTCAAGAACAGTTTAAAGAAATTGAGACATTAATGTTATTAATACTTTTTAAAATTGTAATATATGACTACAGTTTATATGTTAATTATATGTGTATATTGTAATTTTTGTAAGGAAAAAGGGTTCATCCCGTTAAATAAACGAACAAACAAACAAAATCACACGTTCTCTCTATGTACGTATAATATATCTACAAAGGACAAATTACAACCAGTAGAATGCTGTACTAATGTAACAGAATATAGACACCTGCAAAGAATAAGAACCGAAAGACCCGTTGGAAGTCCGCCAAAAAGGTGGAAGGATAATGTACAGTCAACAACGACTAAAACAGAATAAGAGGCAGACAAACAGGAGTAATCCTAGTGGCACGAAGAAGACTGGATAATGGACTACATTTAGACAGATAAGTGTTAGATATTATTAAAAAAAAAAGCTTAAATGAAAGGTCCTTAACCTTTGCAGATAATACAATGCTGACCTACACCACTAATACGTAATACCATGTCTACGTGACGATATTCAAGAGATTAATTTATCTTATAAGAGTATCTACTTACCTCATCCACAAACATGATGTTCATGCTTCTATGCTGCGGATGATCCATCAGCGGAGAATTTTGTATTCTTCTGGGTTCTATATCTGGATAGTCGATCTGGAAAAACAAACACTTATTTAGATAATAGCACTACACTGTTCACTTTCACCATAAAATATGTATTAAAATAAACATCACATAGATCCAGCTTCTTTATTTATTGATCAAATTCGTAAAAATGTACGAAGAAAAAATGTAACTCTGATGTACCTCTTTTATACGACATTCTTTGTTGAAAAATGAGAATCTCCGTAGGATTCTCTTGTGCCTGTGTCTGTTATTAATCATGTATACTTGGGGACTGAATAAAGAAGAATCGTATACGTTATCGGAGTTCCCAGGTGATAAAACGGCTGATAAGAATTATAAGCAGACTTATAATATATAAACGATGGTAAATTTTTAATAGATAACCGATAACGGTATAGCTAAGCAAAGGGTGCAATTTTTATCGTGATTATTGAATTAATAGGAAGTATTGGTTGTTTATCGTTCAAAGAATCTCGCAGATAACTCTTTAATAGGTTAAATAAACTTTCACTATAATAAAATTACAACAAAATCGGTTTATAATAATAAAATTATACTATACATTTTAATCGATACAATATGCTCAAGTACAAAAATTCAATACACTCTATAAATATGTACAGCTGGTTTCTAAAAAAATTGATACGACTCTTAGTAAGATTTGATCATTTTGAGCAGTGTATTTGATTGGTCTGGCATTATATTATATTAGGTTTGTCCTAGCATCAGTTTCAAATGGTTTGAAACCATCAGCGAATAGTGGACCAGTGCGAGTAGAGGGGATATAGCACTGGTGACTGTATTATTTTCTCTCGCTGACCAACTGTTTGCTGACGGTTTCTGACTAGTTTGTCTGTTTGCTAGAACAAACCTATTTATTATGACAGACAAATAATAAAATAAACAAACAACAAAGCAATTGCTTACATATGTTAATTCATAAAATTGTAATAATTTTGATATTATTTTAAATTCCCACATTTTATAAAGAGTATATAAATGATAGTTTTACAATAAAATAGTTTTTGTTGGTATATTATTATTAAAGCAAGAATTGTAACCAAATTAAAAGATAACTGGGCACTATCAGAGGCAGCAAAACATTTTAACATTTTAGCAAATCACAGTTTTTCTATTTATAAAAAATGGAGGAGCAAAGAAACTCTCGAAAGAGAAACAAAACTAGACTAAATTTAGGTATGTAAAAATAAAATTAATATTTTGTAATATCTCCATCAGCATTGATAACAGCTTGTAGTCTTGGGTCCATCTGCGTGAAAGGAACTATGAAATTGTCTTCTTCGGAGAGCTCTTCCCAAACCTGTTCTATACCGTGCACTGCCACAGCTCTTCAGCATTTGGAGGTATAAAATTACGCCGATACAATCGTTTTATAATAACCCCCACACATTCTCGATTGGGTTTAAATCTGGACTGTAGCTGGGCCATGTAAGGTTTAATGTTGTTATTCTGGAGCCACTGGTTTATTATATTTGCAGTGTGAACAGGACAATTATCTTATTGGAGGATAAAATTATTTTCTGAATGCAACTGTTCTACACTGGGAACCATGATGTTTTCTAGAACATTCAGATAGATCGGCCCAACATACCTGCCTTCAATACGCCATATCATTCTCATTCCTCTTGATGAAATCCATCCTGATTCATTAGCGCTAAAATGACCAGCTGCTCGATATCTATTAACATATAGAGGAATAAATCTATTATTATCTGGTCTATACACCCCAATTTTTATCATTTTGAAGATTAAAAGATTTTTTCATCTGTAAATATTACCCCGTCCCAAAAATCTTGATTTTGTAGCTGATGGTATTAACAAGCGAGTCTTCTACAGCTGGCGCTGCTTCTCGAATCCTAATTTCCAGCGTTTTCTGTCGAAGCAATCTTCAGTTGTTAGATCTCTGGCGGTCATTGCATCGTCGACATCGTCTCTCCGGGATCGTCTTGGTCTACCCCGTTTTCTTCTAGTTGGCGGAGTCCATTCTTCTATTTTTTTTTTTGCCATCTATTTTCAGGCATTCTCGGAAGGTGTCCATACCAGTCAAGTCTTTTGGCTTCGATTGTGTCTATTATGTCTAGATCGATTTCCATTTTCTCTCCAAATATCTTCGTTTCTCACCCTATCAAGTCTAGTGAGCTGGCAACAACATTTCCAGTAGTTCATTTCCATGGCCTTAATTTTTGATTTGTTTCTTTGGTTTATTTCCCAGAGTTCGGCGCCGTACAGTCCAATACTTTCTATTATTGTTTTATAAATTCTTCTTTTATTTTCTTTTCTTATTTTTTTATTCCATAATAGTCCGTGTAGCTGTCTGGTGGCTGATCTTGCTTGGCCAATCCTGGAATGTTTTATTCCACGCTACTTCCACCTTTAAATGTTATTTGGACTCCCAAGTATTTAAAATTGTCTGTTGATTTTATAGTTCCCATTTCGATTTGTAGGTTTTTCTAGTTTTTCCCCTAAAACTAAGTACTCAGTTTTTTGTATATTAATTGTGAGGCCCCATTTGGTGAACTCATCTTCCAGTTTTCTAAGCATGTAGCCTACATCACTCTCGTCTTCAGCTAGAATGGCTTGGTCGTCAGCGAAGTGTATCGTGTACAATCTATCATCTCCGATTGGGATGCCCATATTGCAGCACTTTCTTCTCCACAGTGAGAGTGCCTCATTTAGATATATTTTGAAGAGTGTAGGTGCTATGCAGCAGCCTTGCTTTAGGCCCTTACAAAGAGGAATTTTCTCTAGTTAATCTATTTCCAGTTTTAATGTTTGCCGTCATATTTTTGTAGAGCTGTTGTACTGCTTCTATATATTTTTTTGCTTATTCCTTGTTTTTCCATTGCTAATGACACTTAGTCCCTGTAGTTTGAACAATTCTTTCTATCTCCTTTTTTGTAGATGTTGTTAATACGTGCTTTTGTCCACTTCCGGTGGTAAGTCGTGTCCATTATAGAATAAGGTGAAGACATACGCCAGTAATTCCCGTAATACTTGTGGATGTTTTAATAATTCATTTGGTATACCTTGTGACCCGCATGACTTCCGATTTTTTAGAGTTCGTATTCTCGACTTCCTGTACTGTTATCTCATCGTCTTCACTGAATTCCAGTTCATATGTTGTTGTACTGATACCCTATATATTTGTTGAGTTCTTCGCATTTACTTTCAAGAAATATTTTTTGGTTTAGTTACTAAATTTTTTACTTCTTTGTTTGATCTTGCATATCTTGCATTGTCTATCATCTGGATCATTCGTTTGCAGTCACTTTTGATATGCTTGTTTCTTGTTGTATACTGCATTGGCGATGTCATTTGTCCATCACAATGGAGTATTCTTTTTGTTCTTTTGGATTGTGCCGAGCGCTTCGTAAGCTGCTTCATTGATTTTATTAAGTAATTATCTCTCTATAGGTATTCTGGGATGAGGAGTAGATCAGGTTTGCCAATTTTGGCAGTCTTATATAAGTCGCAGCTTATATAAGAATGATGTCGAGTCGTTTTGCAGTGCATCAATATTGTATTTAGGTATATTCGATTCCAGGGGTTTTGATTGACTAGCTGGTTGTCATTTTGATGTATAGCGAGGTCGATACTGTAGGCAACATTTTGATCTTACCATATAGTGGTCAGTTCCGCAACTCCGGTCCTCTTAATACTCTTATGTCTTCAACTTGTATGTGTGTTTCTTGTTTTGTGATGACATAATCTATAATTGACTTTGTGTTTCTCGTTGGTTGAACCCAAGTGTACTTATGTATGTTTTTATGATTGGTAGAATCCGTTTAGGATTTTTCACAGAGTGCTGTTCACAGAATTCGATTAAGTGTTCCCCATTTTCATTTGTTTTAGCGTCACCATATTTTCCTACGACTTGCCATTTGTTTTTGTTCCTGTCCAAGCATTAAAATCTCCCAACATCACAATTTCTTTGCGGCTATTTATATTTTCAATGAGTTTCCGATAAAGTTTCGTAGAATATTTGTTAAGCTGCTTTTGATGCATTTTCTGACGGAGCATATATTCCAATGATCTCGAGTCGGCCCTTTCCCCGTAATAGATACTCTAATAATTCTGATGATAGTTTAAAGCAATTGATAGTAACTGATGGTTTAAAGCAAATACAAGTCTTGATTGCTTCTGCTTTGGTGTAAGATCTTGTTTTTTTGCTGCAGTTCGGTACCTAAGACGCGGGACAGGGTAATATTTACAGATGAGAAAAATTTTCAATCTTCTAAAAAGGCCAAAATTGGATGTATAAGACCAGATAATAATATGATTTAAGAGAATTAATGAGATTCCCGATATGTTAGTAGATATCGAGCAGCTGGTAATTTTAGCGCCAATATATGGGAATGAATTGCATCTAGAGGAATGGGAATGGTATGGCGTATTGATGGCAGGTTTGTTGGGCAGACTTATCTGAATATTCTAGAAAACATTATGTTTCCCAGTGTAAAACAGTTGTATTTAGAAAATAATTTTATCCTCCAACAAGATAACTGTCTAGTTCACACTGCAAACATAATAAACCAGTGGCTCCAGAATAACAACATTGAAACCTTACCAGGGCCCAGATACCGTCCAGATTTAAACCCAATCGAGAATGTGTGGAGGTTATTATAAAACGGTTGTATGTGAGTAATTTTATACCTCAAAATGCTGAAGAGCTGTGGCACGGTATACAACAGGTTTGGGAAGAGCTCTCTGAAGACGATAATTTCATAATTTCGGGCTTTGCTCGTACTATGGAGATTGTAGCTTAAGAGAAATATCTGGTGTATGTAAAGAAACTACCTCTAACCTTCCAGCTCAGTTTTCATGTTCTTTTTGCTGTAAATACACCCTTTCCTAACAATATAACATCCACATTTTGGCATTTGAGAGCCCTTTTCTATATTATTATTTATTCGGTTTCTATATTTGTAGTTATTTTGTTAGTTAACAATTACAACTATCTTGATGAAAGTTCCGTACTTCTATGAATGAATATATTCAGTATTTTTGTCCTCTGTAA